TTTTTTTTTTTTTTTTTTTTTTTTTTTTTTTTTTTTTTTTTTTTTTTGCTTTTTTATATTTCTTTTTGTATTTCTTTTTATATTTCTTATTTCTTTTTATATTTCTTTTTTATATTTCTTTTTTATATTTCTTTTTTTTCTTTTTTTCTTTTTTTCTTTTTTTCTTTTTTTCTCTCTTTATTTAATTGTCTCTATTTAATTGTCTTTATATATCTCTCTTTTTATTTCTTTTTATTTCTTTCTTTTTATTTATTTCTCTTTATTTATTTCTCTTTATATAGTTCTCTTTATATGTGTTTTTTATTTATCTTTATTTATTTCTCTTTATATGTTTTTTTTTATTTTCTTTATTTTTTTCTCTTTATTTATTTGTCTTTATATGCTTCTCTTTATATCCTTCTCTCTATATACTTTTCTCTATACACACAGCATATAATAATAATAAAAATAATATACATAAATATATATTATATACACACAAATATATATAATATACACCCCAAAAAAATTATATATATATATATATATATATATATATATATATATATATATATATATATATATATATATATATATATGTTATTATATATATATATATATATATATATATATATATATATATATATATATATATATATATATATAATGTATATATACACCCCCTATTATAAACCCTAGTAGGCTGCGTATACACCTCAGCATACACCCTAAACCCTTCATATACACCCCAATACCCCTCTTTTATACATCTACTGCAGCTGCGTTGCTGCTGCTGCTGCAGCAACACAGCAGCTGCAGCAGCAGCAGCAGCAGCAGCACAGCAGCAGTCTCCTTCACAGCGTAAGCATAGCAGCAGCTGAAGCCCTGGGGTGTCTCCGCAGCCACCGACAGCAGAAGCTAGCAGCAGCTGCTGCAGCAGCAGCACAACTCCTGCTGCTGTTTCTGCAGCTGCTGCTGCTGCCGCAGTGTTTCACCTGCTGCGTGCGGTGTCTGCAGCACTGCTGCACCGCAGTGTATGTGTCTCGTGTTGCTGCTGTCTCCTCTGCAGCAGCAGCTGCTTTGTCTGTGTCTTTGTC